CAGGCTATATTTTCCAATATATACAAGAAGTATAATGTTTAATTCATGGGGCTTTTTTGATAATTTTCATTTCCTGACCTTGGGTACATAGCGATCCCATCCAACCAGCATAGCATTGGGATAAACATTTTCCCGTAAACCTATCACACATATCACAGTGGCCACAGGACAGGGAACAATTATTTCCATGGAATCCCATTGGACATACTGTAATAACAAAATGTTAAATATCGACTTTGTGGATTAAAGTTTGTGTAATGTGTAATTAAGAGTCTTTTTATTCGAAGGCCATACCCTTATCATTATTCGGTAAATTAACAAAAATGTTAAATGTTACATTTATAAACCATTAAGCCATTGGTAAGATATCCTCTATTATAATTTCTCTTTGTTTACTCGTCAATGAGTCTAACACTAAAAGAAGCACGACGTCGATAAAGAGAAAAAGATGCATGTGCCTACATAAAAAATCTGCTCAAAGTGTCATTCATTTCTGTTTTTTTTTTTTTTTAAAAATCAGTCCATAAAAATTGCTGCTTAAAAATTTACCTCACCTAGTAGAAAACATTTTTTTTATTTGAGGCCTTAGTTTTTAAGGTCTCGTCCGAAGGACCAGCAAATTTTATTTTAAGGTCAGACGATGCGTTCCCCAAATATCTGTTTTGTACATCTCTCATAATTTATGAAAAAGAATATACAAAATCCTTATTACTTTCTGTCTCTAATGCGGATTTAAATTGTTGCTCAAAATTTGAAACACTGAAAATGCGATTTTAGCAAACTAAGTATTCTTTCTCAAAGGATTTTATAAGAAATGCCATCTTCTAATACCTCACAAAAGCCTGGTATGATACCTTGATTTTTTGTGAGTAAACATGTAATAGTAGTAATTCTTCTAGACAAAATCTTGGAAAAATTTATATGTTATTGAGTAACGCCTCGTCTGTCCTTAAAGAACCGACTGCTTGGCGAAGGAATAGCGGATACCTATATTTTATGTCAATCCCGGCCGGATTTCAAACCCACGACCTTCGGGAGCGAGCGTTATTCCTAGTAATCTACAGTTACGGCCTTAATTATAAACAAAACCAGTTCAAAAAAGAGATCCTCAATTGTGAACCACAAAGTACAGGGGCTAATTTCTACGGAGAATGTTTTTTTTTTGAGAACACACACAAAATAAGTCGTTTCAATTCCATAAAATGGAAGATTTTACAGTTTTAAACTTTTCAAGAGTACTTGAAGACAAAACACTATGACAATGCATTCAATGTTGTCGCAAGTGAAGTTTCACACAACAAGGTGTCACATCACATATTTATTGGAGAATCTGAAGAACTTACGTGTATTGAAAGTCTTTTTAAGCTTGCAAAATCGATAAAAAAGGAGACTGTTGGCAAGGAAGAACCATTATCCTTAAAAATAGCATTATTTTTTCAAGTCTTAGAATTTAAGTAAACTTACTTTTATTGCACTTTTCTCCAAAGACGCCTACATGACACCTGTTTGTGCAAAATCCATGAATGGGATGACAGGTCTCTCCATAGCTACAGTTTCCGCACGACTCAGAGCAACGTTTGCCATAGAAACCTCGTCCACACACTTCACAAGTAATTGAGGTAAACTTGATTAACATATCACACTTTTTTTCATTTTATTGAATTTATCTGAAAATAGCATTAATTGCTCAGTATATAGCGTTGAAAAACCACCAATGTGTTCTTAAAGGTAATATCTCTTTTGCGTTGGGTAAGTAATGCCAAAAAAATGTGGATGCAAAAAGATTATTAAAATGACGGTTTTTTTTTAACTTTTAAACAATATTTTTTTCTATCAAACGTCAGAAACTGATATCATGTGCAAATTTGAACACTTCGAATTTAAAGATTAACCTCAAGAGATGTCAAAAAAAAAATGACAATTTACTTTCTACTATACCATATGTTCCTAAAGCATATACAACCTTTCTATATACTGTATAAGTAATGAAAATTAATCCTGCAGGACCGGTATGAAATTTGTTTCCACAAATTTGCTGCTGTATAGGTGTTTTTCAAGCGTGAAATAAATGGAGATAATACAATTTAATACCTGATGCACATTGATTTCCTTGATACCCTGGTTTACATTCGAGGCATTGTCCTGTTTCTATGTGACAGTATCCACAATTGAGATAAGGACAGCGTATTGAACAAGCATCCCCATAGTACCCAGGTTCAGGACAACCTTTCATAAAAAAAATATTTTAAAAGGTAAAATTTACTACATTTATAATCCTTGATTACAAATCTTTCTGGCTTAATGTAACATTAAAGATTTAAAAAAAAAATTAGAAAATATTTGTACAAGTACATGTAACCACAGGATGAAACTGAACCTTTCAATCAATTAAATGGTTACTGCATGATAGACATTTCCAATGAACATCCAATCGCATTTCTGTTAATTGAATTATATAGTCTTATCCTGTGAATATAAGTGTCTCTTTGGGGAACTTACCGAACACTTTAACTTCACATAGCTCACTGAAAGCATATTGTGAATAATTAGATGGATAAGTCCTTTCATCAAGTCTCTCGTTGTAATATATAACATATTGCCCATGGACAGGACAGCTTATATTCGCAATCGATGGGATGGTATCTATTGTATAGTTTGTGTCATGGAAGCACAAATGACCTTCATTCTTGTTGGTTGTATTGGATATGTACAAAGAGAATCCCAAGAATCTACTAGTGAATGGATTGTTGGAATCTGAAATGTATGAACTTTTTTCACCACTTTTTTAATACAGATTATTTCCAATACCATAAAACATATGTAGAAGTTTTGAACTCATAAGAATCTTTTGAACAGTTTCTTTTCTTGTGTATCTCTCTTTGATCTCCACTGAATTTTCTAAATCCATGAAATTTTATAAGAAGTATTCGCTTTTATCCCCTAATCTCTTCAGATATTTTAATGCTTTAATGTTTTATCATCTTCAAAACACGTTTAATGTCATGAAAAGAAACAACCGCTAATGATTTTAATGAAACATGACTTGTAATATGATGGAATAAAACAAATTTAAGCAGCATGAGCAGAAACATAATTTCTCGAAATTTATTAAAATAGTAACAAAAAGTTATACGTTATAATAGGAATAATTACATGAACGTCCACAAACTACATGTAAAATAAACAACACTGGTTGCATTCATCCGATAGATTTTTTTAGTATACTGAAAAGTCGACGATTCTATTTCATTATTTTTTGAAAATAAAGTGTATATATATTGTATCTTGGGATATAAGGGAATTGATAGCGATTTGATTCATACTTCAAACCTTTGACAAGATAAGAGATGGAAGTTAACAGATGAAATGATACATGCTTTTTGTTTGTTATTTTTTAAATCTTAATATAATTGACAATGAAAGGAAGATAACATAAAATGTTCTTAACAGAACAAATACGGATGAATAAACGTATAAAAGTAATATGTACAGTGCACAAAGTAGTCAATACGAACCCCATCGAATATTCTCTGTTCTGTAGAATATCAAAATGTATCGAATGCTGAGAATGTTTTCAAGGTTAACTCTCCATTCTGCCTTTGTTTCTAAATTATTTGATATGCTACATTGATATCCAACAGAAGACAGGTTTTTGGCCAGTCCATCTACAGCCCTGTCAGATGTAAATTTCCCATACGTTGATGCTTGCCATGTAGGTTTCTTAAGTGCAATGTTTTCTATAATAAAATTAAAGAAACAATACAGAGAGTCAATTGAAAATCTCTTCGCTAGAATGCTAAGGAAACATATAAACCATTTCTCGGGAAATTTAGACTTTTAAAAGAAAATTGAATTTGATGAAAAAAACCAAAACTGCTGATAAACGTTAACTCTTATTTACTATTGAATAAAGATAAGAGTGTCTAACGTGAAGACGTGCACCACCACCACAGCATCAAGTGACTTCTATTACATGTAAAAACGAAAAGTTCCTTAAAAATAAAGCTAATAGAACAACAATGCACCGGAGTTTAATAATTTCTTTGAGTGAATAATATAGTCGAAAAACATCTATTTTGCCTTAAATGTGCTGCTAGAATCCCACAGTCCTGTCAGTAAAATAATTATTCCACACATTTGCACGAAACCTTACCCGACGTTTTGAATTTTATACATATGAACCAAGATTGTTCGTAAAACCATGCTTAGTTTGGGATTCTAACAGCATTTCCCAAGTATTTTAGAAGGTAAACTCTCCTTTTGTGCAAATCTTACGTTTTGAAATATCCAGCTAATTGTTATTGTAATTCTGTTACCGATACATTACAGTACCGACCGGACACAACTTAACAGAAAGCAAATCCGGAGGGGACCCCGGGCGCGCTCTCTGCGTCCGCATTGGGTTCGCTCGGGGTCCGCTAGGCTTACATGTACAGTGTACATGTATCGATCGTCGCATAAACAACAATGATCGATCCCCAATCCGAATACTGTATCGGAATATACAAGGGGCGGGGCTTACTGGCGACGAGAATGAGGACAGATGATACAAACAATTTTTTCCTTTGAAAAATATTTAATATCATGTCACAAGTTTAGAAAATGGATGGTACTTAGAATTGTTTCTCCGAAGAACTGGAAAATGAAATAGACTTGGAAAATACTAGTAACATTTCAATAAAAAAACAGATATAGACAAATCACATTCAGTAAAGGTTTACAGGTAAAAACAAATTTCAGAATATGTTATCTTAGTGATAAAAGTGTGTAATATAAACTTTAGAAAAATATACCAAGCCAGGTGAATTTTAAGAGGAAAATCAAAATGACAAAAAATTAGCAATATCACATAGGCTGATTTTTACCATTTAGCTTTTCCTACAATATATTTCTGACTTTAGATAAAACCTCAAGAAAACAAATTAAAATTATCCGCAGTGTAGTTAATTTTTAACATACATATCTTTTTCTTGAGAAAAGAGAAAAAATGTGTTTGTTAATTAAAAAAAGAATTTCAAGTTAAAGGGTTTACTATTACTCTTTTAGACTACTGTAATGAGTTGAATACTTAAACTTTTTGCAAACACTTAAATGTAATGCTTATGATTGAAATTCATTGTTTTCCATATTAGATATTACTATAAGTAAGTCCTTACATGACATTAACACGAGAAAAGTAATAACAACTACTCTTCACTAATAACAATATCATATTTTCGTTTTATTGCATTTTTATGCGTCTTCATTTAATTATGCACATTGAAATGGTTCCTTAAAATTGTTTCCGCACGAACATTTTCATAAACAACTTACATGCTTGATTGATTGCTTTCCAACCAATTGAGTTAGGAACGTATATCAGGAAGTCAAACCAGCACTCTTAACCCGGGTATGGGTATCTTGAAGACCTCCTTTTTGGGATTCGTTGTTTGACAGAACTAAAATTGTGTTTTATGGAATAGGAAATATTAAGTTTAAATCTTTCGCTTTAACAATGGAGTTTACAAGTTTTATTTTATATTGCACAATTTTTGCATTATTTAGGTTGTATTTTCTTTTAATTTGATTAAATTAATCTCGTCCTTTTCTTGTAGATATGCGAACATCTTGAATAAAGTTAATTCTTCATACAACCATTTGTATGTGTATTAAAAAGGGGCTCCACTAGGGGAAGATGCTAAACGAAGATTAAACGAAGATTAGAAACATTTATCATAAGGAACGACATATCAATGAGAAGTTTTGTTAATTTGTAACACCTGGTAATCATATAATAAAATAATATGACATACTTTGAAAAAAAAATCTGAAATTAGAACATGGACAATGGGGTCTAACATGAAATAATATCGAGAGGTGATTTTTTTTACGCAAGAACAGGTATGTTGAAGCGTCAAGTTAGATCTAATGATTCGCGCCGGTCAACAAGACGTGATACGTCTCCTCGGATCAAGTACATGTTTTAATGATAAATTCACTATATATCTCCTTAAATAAAGCAAAACAAAACTTTAGAGATCAATATTTTAAACCGAGGCATTAAACAAAACACACTGTCAAGGAAATCTTAAATGCGCAAGAATATAACGTCATGTTTCTGCGTGTTACGTCCTGAGTTTCAAAAAGTGGTGATATGGATTCAGAAAACCAAAGTGTGGTGATCCGGAAATCGGATAAAATTCAGTAAATTAACAGTAACAAAAACACGAAAATTGATGGGTATATGTATAATTTAAAAAAAGTATTCATTTATAAAATAAAAAAAAACATGAGAAAGAATTTAAGTTGACTGATGGTGAGAATATGCTGTCCGTAACTTAATATTCAGAAGATCACATGAGTGTGCCACATTGGTTCCTTAACTGGTACTACACGTATGTTTAATGTAACGGGGCTTGTCCAATCATGACTGTAAATTTTACATATTTGCATTAATAATTATTTTCATAATAATATAAGCTTGTAACTGTGTAAAAAAAAAAAAACAAAACTGACCTTTCCGCATGACGACAAAAAGAATAAGCATTGACAAACATCTGACATAAAACAACTTAACTCATTTTATTTTTTCTTTTTTCATTCCATATTTGCGTATTGTAAACCTCCCCCCATCCCAACCCCAACACCACCATGATTCATATGAATGTTTAGACTTAAAAAATCGAATACATGTAAATGTACTAACCATATCCATCTGAATATTTAATGATACCATTAATAAGCAAATAAAATAACGTCCATGGTAAGCTTGTCCGAATCATGGCTGTAAATTTTACATATTTGCATTAAAAATTATTTTCATAATAATATAAGGAGGAAACTATACACGAGAAGGAAATTGTAAAGAAAAAACTATTTAGATTTATGCATTTCGATAGACGAATAACAAAGACCTGTCATACTTTTTATTGGTACCAGCCGAATCAATGCTTGCACTGTATGAACAGATAAAATAGCAGCAAATGTAATGATACATGTCTAACAAGGATTATTGTTATTGTATTGGAAGTTTAATTGTGACATCATTGAAATTCAACAAGCCATAAAAATTAATTAACGATATCATCATGCGTAAATAACAACTTGAGTTTATTTATTTTATCAATTATTTATAAAATCTTGTAAAATTACAATACTTAATAGCAATACAGTCGAGTAATAGAAGAAAGTCTTTCGTCAAATATGACGTCATCAGCCTTGACATGACGCAGCACAGGTAACCCACAGGTCAAATTTTGTCCAGTGACGTCACTTCCGGTCAAAACGGAAGTAGTCAGAAAATGCGTATTTTTGCCGTTCTTTACAAGTTTTGAGGTAACATCTGTCACTGGGAGCACAAAGTTCAATTTCCCTCCGTCGTCGTTACTTCCGGTCAAACCGGAAGTTGCAAAAAATTACTAATTTTTGTATTCATTAACATAGATTTGGAGGATTTAAACCATTTTGGATGTATTTATTCATTTTTTAAAGAGTGAAAGTTACTTCCGGTCAAACAGGACGGAAGACCTACTCGTTGCTTTGCAACGAGCTTTGCTCTAGTTATTATCAATTTTCTTCCTGGGAAAATTTTGTCCACGAGTGATCTTGTAAACTGTACATCCGACTTAGGTTAAGCTTTTTTAGGATCAGAAGGCATGTTATGTAGAGTTGCGAAACGAAGGTCATTTTGTGCGCACGTGCTTGCAAGAGCGCGCACGTGCAACACGTGAAATAACCAATATAATGTATATTGCCGTAACTTTTCTATTTTGTGATGAAATGTTTTGAAACTCATGATGTAAGGATATGTAAGTAGTATAAACAAGATGACATGGTCAAAATAGCAAGATTTCATGCGCATGCACGTGCGCTTTGCACTGATTGGCTGAAACTAAAGTCTTAATATCTTTCTTGTTTTACATCATAATCATTTGAAATTTTGAACTTAGTCACACATTATCAAGATCTACAGCATGATATATAAGAATTTTTATGAAAGCACGTACATGCACGTGCTCTGGCAAGAGCGCGCACGTGCAACATGTGAAATTACCAATATAATGGATGAAACCTTAACTTTTCTATTTCTTGATGAAATTTTTTGAAACTCACAATGCATGGATATATTAGTAGTATTAACAAGATGACATGGTCAAAATAGCAAGATCTTAGGGGCATGCACGTGCGCTTCCACAGGATGGAAATCCACCATTCAGTCAGTAAATGGTCACTGAAAAGACCCTTTCCCGTGATCTTTCCGTGATCATTCAGTTATCATTCAGTTGACTGAATGGCACATACATTTCAGGGACCTTTCTGTGATCATTCAGTTGAATCTTTTTATTGAATAATCGGCTTATTTTTTTTTTACCTAAAAATCTTATTTCACTTTTTCCTGGTATAATAGCATTAATTAAATGTATCCAATTCCGAAAAAAAAGGAAAAAAATTAATACAAGAAAAAAAAATTGCTCCCATGCCCAGAATTTAACCCTGGTCTCCTGCTTAGGTGTCCGCGACCTTATCAATTACGCTACGACTTCTTTTTGAGAAATAAGGATTTGAAATCAAGAAATCGATGGAACAATCCGTTCACCTGTTGTATCGAGGAGCTGCGATGTGTATATATCTTGTATATCTTTTGTATATTCTATGTTTGTTGCGCGGATTTTTGGGACAGACTAATTAATTACCCATCTCCTATCGGGATGATGACAATTATCAGAGACGGGCACCTGTTCCTGTGTCAAAGATTTAAGATCGTTGTAAATTCTCTATCTAGAAACTTAGATGAATGATTTTATTTAAGCAATATCATTTAGAAAACTAAAATCTCCTATATATTTTTTTTTCTACAAGAGGCATGTATAAACGATTTATTTATTCTTGTAATTAAAAATTAATTTAAAATAATGTCTTTCAAAAACTAAGGCGTTTTTATTGCAGAGAAATCAGTTTAGGTTTCAGTTCGGTTTTCCAAACTTTTTTATTTATTTGAAAAACCTGTAACGAACTAGTTTCAAACCAAAACGAGTTTTTTTCCTTTATCGACTTTAAACTAAAACTAGTTTCCTGAAAACTTTAAACCACCCCCGGGTGCAGTTTTGACGGTTTTAATTCCTTTCAACATGGCGAATGCAGAATTTTTGGTGTTGCAATGCGACCAATGTGGGCAGCAATATGACAAAATCGACTAGTTTTCGGGGGCACATATACAGTGTACTGTGTAAAAAGTAATTGTTGATGTTTCACTTCAATTATTTGATGTTAAAAAATGTAACCATGTTGCATACATAAAGACAAATACTAAAGTAAATTAATAAAAGCAGAGATGATAAAAGAAAATCCATTCTTGTTAGTTGAGGTTATGATCATCATGCATATATCAAAGATGGAGCTAACATGGTAATTAGGTCTGTTCATTCTAAATCTGTCACGGAAATCATCCATTCTATACAAGGGTAGTATTGCCTCAGCATAATTAGTGACAAGAGCCTTTCTTTGTGACCTCTTTTTTATAAAAAAGGTGGAACTCAGCATGGGTATTACAATTACACTCTCATGTAAATGGAGATAAGTTGTAGAAATATCTTCTTCAGATTGTAAGAAAAAATCAAGAAGTCAGTTCTATTATCTATGGTATCCATCTTTGATGTTTCTGTGTGTGTTTTAACCGAAACTTTCCATTTAGTGCTAAACCATTAAACCATAAACCGGTTTCAAAATTAATAAAAACTATTTTCAAACCATTAACCTAAACTAAAACTAGTTTTTGATCAATAAATTCGCCCTAAATATCCTGCAGTTTTGACAATGGCATAATTAAGAAACGAAATTAATAAGTAAATCAGTAATTAGAATCAGAAATTAATCAGTAATACTTGGGATCTTCCAGAAATGGTTTAAATAATATAAATTCTGTCTCATCAATCAAAACTATATATTTCCATAAAAAATACACGTATAAGCACTATAGAATGTTAGGCATTTATTTAAATTTTGAATCGGTTATTGGATCATCATTTTTTATCACTTGAAGATTTTCTAAATGTTTTCTAAATGTAACTAGAAAATTAAAAATCATTTTGAATAAGTCTCACATATTTTATAAAATTATAATAATTACTTAGATATATTTTAAGGTAACCGAAATTGATCACGATAAGTAAAAAAAAAAACACAGTTAAGATTGAATAATAAACATTTATTCAAATTATTGCTTCCTTGTTAAGGAAAAATATCTGATTATAAAATAATACGCTAGTGAAAAAATTGCTAAATTGAGACTTAAATATCACTGAAAGGTGGCGGAAAGGTCACTGAAAGACGACAGAAAGGTCACTGAAAGTTGATGGAAAGGTCACTGAAAGTCGACGGAATGTTCACTGAAAGACGACAGAAAGGTCACTGAAAGTCGACGGAAAGGTCACTGAAAGTTGATGGAAAGGTCACTGAAAGTTGATGGAAAGGCCACTGAAAGTTGACGGAAATGTGTCCGCTGAATGGTGACAGAAAGGTATCTGAAATGTGACTGAAAGGCAACTGAAAGGTCACTGAAATGTATGTGCCATTCAGTGACTGAATGGCCACGGAAGAGTTACTGAAAGCTGCCTTTCAGTTTTAACTGAAAGGTCTTGTTTCTTCCTGTGTTCTCTCTGATTGGCTGAAACTAAAGTCTCAATAGCTTTCTTGTTTTCCGTCATAATCATTTGAAATGTTGAACATAGTCATACATTATGAAGATCTACAGCATGATATATAAGAATTTTATCATGAAAACACGTAAATTTACATGTGCTGCAATCTGATTGGCTGAAACTTTAAATGCCTATAACTTTCTTGTTTCTCAACAGAACAGGATTAAATTTAGAATATGAATAGGCATAATGGGTTCCTGCATGATACTACTATCAACATTGAATGCAAGGACGTGCTTGCATGTATTTGCGCCAACATAATGCGAAAAATGAACAATGTATTTGAAAAACGGTAACATTTATATTTTTATGACTTTTCATTGATTCTTGGAATCTAAAGATATTTTAATAGTTTAGACAACATGCCATGATCACCTTGCATGTGCAAGCACGTGCGTTTGCGTGCAATGCGTTAAATTAACAAAATTCTTTAATGAAATCCCGCGATAATGAGCATATTAAAAAATGTTTTAAAGGAAATTGGCACAAAAGGCGAGTTTGGAGCCTTTAGGGAACATCTGTAACGGTCCCCGTTACAATTAGAACTAGTTGCATGTATCATTGCTTTCTGGACAAATGAGTTAATGGTCTTAGTACAAATGAGATAGATTTTACCCATTCACTACATATGTATTGGACACACGTTAAAAAGCTTTATATATGTTAGTTTAGGATTATATTGACATGACATAGATTGACTGATGTTGGGTCATTGGATGGTATATTTTAATTATTAGTTGCCTGACTTAGTGTATTTATTGCGATGGAAGGCTAAGGTTTGTAGATTGCGTTTTTTTTTATTTCACATATGTATAAAAGAAAAGTTTAA